TATTTCATTTATTTTAGACTCCCCGAGGCGTATTGTTCACTTAGTACCGCCTGGAGTCTGTATTTCAATTACTTTAAACTCCCCGAGGTGTATTGCTCATTAAATACTACCCGGAGTCTGTATTTTATTTCTTTATAAACAACAACGTCATTGCTGAAGAAAAGTATTATTTTCCCTATTACTTTTACTTGTGACCTTCTCACATATTTATTAAAGTATAAACTATATTTTGATAGTGATAGTTGCTTTTGGGGAAAATACTCCTTAAACAATAAAACAGTCAGGTCTTGGTAGAAGACTGCTTTTAGTAGAGAAACCCATTCGTTTAAACATAAAACAATCGGGTCTTGGTAGAAGACTACTTTTATTAGAAAATATAGGATTTTCTGGAAGGAATTCTAATACTCTGTAAATTCTAAACCACCATCTTTTATTAGATTATTTTGAAGAAAAACATGTATTTATATCAATGCCATTAAATACTTATGAACTCACCAGCATTAAAAATGCTGATACTCGCTTTCAAAATAACTTGTATTCTCAGGTCGTCAGTAGACAGGTACACTCCGGGAGCTTTTGTGAAGACAGCCTTGTACCGAGCTGCAATTATGTTATTCTCTGTATTTACTTTTGATGTTGATGCTAAATGTAACCTATGTAAAATTATTACTATTAATGCAATGATTGTTGTAATTTGATTACTATACTGCATATGTTGTGATACTTGACATGTCGTCCTCCACCCCAGAACGTTTCCGCCGTTCCGGTTTTGGGGTGTGACACTACGCACCGTCTTCTTCCTCAAAATCAGACATGAAAACCTTGAAATCAAACATTGAAAACCCATGAAACCTTTGAATCGGACCTTGAAAACAACCCTTATCTGCCACCAACACCACTGTCGATAGTGGCGACGATGGTGTGAAATCTTTCTATGGTGGCCGACATGGTGGTAGGAGGTGATAATGGCTGCACGGAAAGAAGAAAAGGTTTTGATGACTCTTGTGTGGAAAAAATACGATGGTGGTAATGGCTATGTGGAAGGAGGAGGGAGCCGCCAGTGGTTGTGTCTCGGACTGTAATGGTGTCGGCTTCCTCTTAACTATGAAGGAAAACCATAGATGGTCTTTGTAGTTAAGGGATGTAAACAAGAGCGAACTGGTAGGGGGAGGAGATGAGAGAGAGAGAGAGAGAGAGAGAGAGAGAGAGAGAGAGAGAATGGGGTGTGGGCTCCATTTTATTATTAATAAAAGATTAAATTAAATAGAAAAAAACATAAAAAAATATATAAAAGGGAAATTTAGTGATTTTAATTTTCGGAGGGACCATTTTCACATACAAACTAGTCCAAAAGGAGAAGCCAAAAAAGTCATGGTTTGGACTAAAACCCCAAAAAAATGCATACCATAGGGACATTTTTGCAGTTTTGTCTAATTTTATTTTTAAAGTTGATAGATTAAAAATAAAAAATAATAAAAATAAAAATAAAATAAAATAAAATAAAATAAACTATTTCTAAACATACCCTACAAGGGATCTTTTAGAATATTGGTGTCATGGGTGTGAGACCCGTGTATTACACGAGTTTCAATATATCTACCCCAATAAAATGGTACATATTTGTAAAATGATGACGACAATAATGATGTAAACATTAAACATGAATTAATTACAACTTGCTACATATAAAAAAACAAAATGATGAATAAGTAAGTAAGTTAATGTATAATAATAAAAACAACTATTAAAATATTGACACTTATTTTGATGAATTACAAATTTCTAAAGACTTCCTTATACAACATTAGATGTCGTGTTGGTAAGTTTACCATCTTTATCTAAAATTAATATCTTTAATCCAGCTTTACTTTTAACTCTCGAGAATGCAATATACAATTGTCCATGAATGAATACTGGTTGTCTCAAAAACAACCCCACCCTCGATAGTGATTGCCCTTAACTTTTATTTATTGTCATTGCAAAACATACAACCAGTGGAAATTGTCGTCTTTGAAATATGAAAGGAATCCTTTTATCTGAAGGCGTCAAAGACATTCTTGGAATAAACGTACGGTTTCCGATATTACTTCCAGATATTATTTCAGCTTCTATAACACGTTTACCCAATGCAATAACCCATAACCTCGTGCCATTGCACAATCCGCATTTCTGATCAATATTCCTTAGTAACATAACCGGAACACCGACTTTTAAAACCAACTTATGAATTGGCATACCTGAAGGTCTAAGACCATTTAGAACATCAGGAGAGTATAAAGTTTCATCAACTTCATCATGAACAAAATCAACATGAGAAAGAGTATCTGAACTTAAATACTCCCGTGGATCTCCTGGAAATAATTTTAAAAAACGCTCGTTACTCTCTTGAACGACTTCATTCTTCGGGCAATGATTGCTCTTTCTTGAAAATAAATCAGAATCTTGGCATTTTCAACAATAGAAGGATAGACAAATCCAATTAATGAACCAATAGGATCAACTGAATCAACAATGAGAAGATCAGTGAAAATATCAATAATTGCCTCGCCATCATTCAAACCACCAACTTTTCCTTCTCTAATATCCAAAATCCATTTTGCAAAAGTCGTCGTTTCTTGAATATCATATGTGAGAACACTTAACCTCATGTTTTTTTGTTAATGTTGACTTTGCAACTTGACCAAATATAAGAGGAACTTAAAGAAGCATTCACAATGTCTTGCCTGCTTCCAGTAGGAACAACTGGTAGAATTTGTCTAAAATCGCCTCCAAAGACAATTGATTTTCCTCCAAATGGCAATTTTGAGTTTCCACGAAAATCACAACTCAATATATCTTTCAAAGAACGATCCAAGGATTCAAATGCATGCTTATGAATCATAGGTTCCTCGTCCCATAATCAATGATGTTTTTTTAACAATTCGGCTACATCACTATCCGGTGCAAAAGAACAAAAGGAATCCTCAGTAAGATTTAGAGGAATTATAAAGCGTGAGTGTGCTGTTCTACCTCCGGTTAGTAACAATGAAGCAATACCACTTGAAGCAACATTTAAAACGATATCACCTTTAGATCTTATAGATGCAGATAAAGTCTTCCAAAGAAAAGTTTTACCGGTACCTCCATAGCCATAAACAAAAAAGCACACCTCCTTTTTTCTGTTTAACAGCTGTCATGATTTCATCAAAAATTGATCGTTGTTCAATTGTTAATGAATCAAGTAGTTGATGAGATTCTTGTTGTAGACTGTTAATATCAAAATCTAACTCCTCAGTAATCAAACGGTTGTTTGAAGAAGATACCGAATCATGATCAGGGTAAGGCATCCCAACAAAATCTTTAAGGCTTGAACTGTTTTGGAGTAGAATTTTTTCAATCTCATATAGCGTCAAGTTTTTAAGCTGATCGTCATTAAGGGATAAACATATACAATTGCAGAGTTAATTATTAAAGGATAAATACAGGCAATTATCACGTAATAAAAATAATGTGTATAAAAAAACTTTTAAATATTTATAAGAAACATCAAAATTTCAAATAATAATATATTTAGCATTTAAAAAATATATAAGTAATGTATATAATGTAAGGAATGACAAAAATAATAATACCTGGAGACTTTAATCTTATTCGTTGATTGTAGAGAATTCCATCGGATAAGTATTGCCAAGTATTTTCCCAAACATAACACGGTTTAGACAAACTATTAGACTTTAGCATAGTTGCAAATAGAAACCGTAAATAATAACAAGATCCTGAATGACTTGCTTCCTCGATGGCATCAATATATTCTCTATCATCTTCTAAAAGTCCAAGAACATAACATGCATCTCTAAAAGTAGGACATTCGTTTCCATTAACCGTATGAATATCTGCAAATGATTTCATACCTTTGACTTTATTTAAAAGAATTCTCAAAAAATATGCTTCACCGAGATTAGGTGAAACTGTGTGAATCCTCCCAATAGAAAACCCTTTTTTCTTGGCTCCCAACAACGATCTTCTTGTTTCCATACAAATTTTGTAGGAAACTCAACATAAGAAAGTTTTTGTGCATCCTTATTATGTTCATTACAACTCATCCAAGATAAGAACATCGAAGAAGAAACAGATTGTTTGTTGAGGACATCTTCAATATCATCATCTGCTCCGTATACAACATTTTGTTTTCCAGGAAGATGGAACAGAAGCCTTACAACTGAAGGATATATGTAATGAACATCAAATACATACATACGCCACGAAGCTTCACATGCAGACAAATACCTACAATCATAGTAGTTCTTTATTTCATCAACTGGAGCATCATCATTATCACCTCCATTGTTTTGTGCAACTTCAACAGTAGCCCGATCAGGACCCTTGTTAACATATTTAAACAAATATTTGATGGAAGCCGCTTGATTGCACCACTCTACATTAATGTGAGCCTGATATCGTTTCAAAAGGGTTTTGTGATATGGAACAACACTTCTGTTGTCTAACTTAACACCCGACTTTTCTATAAAAGATCCATCATTACGTCTCCTATATATTGGATAACCATTTGAATCAACGGAAGTATTCTCCAAGAATGGCTTTGGGATCATCGTCTTTGTTTGAACACTAGTTTTCACTCATGCATGGGCATTTAGGATTATCAGAACCACATGGACCATGCATCATAAACTCACTGGCAAGTGAGTACAATTCTGGATCATCGTCTTTGTTTGGAATTTCAGCCGAAATAACTCGATCAATATGTTCAAACAGTAGGGAGTTTGTAATCAGAGTGCATGAATAAACATATATGTGCGTGAGGCTGACCGCGCTTTTGAAACTCCACCGTATAAACAACTGTAGATTTAAATAAATATAATATTATAAGATAATAAAAAAACATAAAAAAAAACATTTTAATAACACTATTATCGTAATATATGGTACCTGCTAGTTGGACCTCTTCTTTAAGTCTTTAATCTAAGAATCCAACTTAATTTTGAATAATCTAGACAGGATATCGGGCCTATCTTCGGGATTAAGTGTGGTGTCAGCAAGAAACCTTTCAATTTCAGGCCACTTTCGATTGCATGTTACGGTTATGAAAAAATCTGGGTATCCAAACCACTTACAAAGCGACAAGGCATCTAAATAGTTTTGCATCATGTAGCGTGCACCACCCGTAAAAGAAGAAGGAAAGATAACACGTTTTCCAACGTTAGAAATATCAGTATTACCATGACTTTGTACTCTTTTTAAAGTTTCATAAGATTCACATCTAAGAACTTTTTGCTGATTGCGTATGTAATATAGTCTCTCAGTTTTAATCATCGTATAAGCATCAACCAGAAATTGTTGAAAAAGCCTTCTTGAATTAAGAATTAATGAAAAAACATTAACTCTGTCTTGAATAAGCAAAGAATTCTCTCATTGTACAGAAACGACGCTTGGTATTAGTTGAATGATCAACATCTCTGTGAGGTATGTCAACTCTATATCCATCATCTCCATATGGAAAGAGTAGTGGGTACTGAAGACCAAGGTAAGCCAGATGTAATTCGTTTATACGTTGTAGACTTCCTAATTTAGTTGTTACGATGATATCTCTATTATCAATTGCATCACCAATGTCACCAACAATTAAAGCAACAACCTCAGAAGCAGTAGGTAAGTTATATGTCCTTCCATCTTGTTGCCTTCTTCTTGTAAGACGTAACTTTAGATCTATATGAGGATTTTCATCAAAACAGTCTCTGGAAGAATGATTTCAATATTAAGAGAATGAGAAGTTGATGTGCACCCTTCGTTCTGTGTAATGTTAACAACAACGATTATATGTAAAATTTAGCAAGTAAATAATTATATCAAACTTATATAAGTAATGTTTTATAAAAAAAATTAATAAAGTTATACCTGAAAGCGTGTTGTCTATTTGTTATTTCATTTTCAGTATCATATATATATATATATATATATATAGTTGCGAAAACTTTGGTTTGGATCCATCTATAGGTAGAAAGACTTCCCATACAATGGTAATTTTGACCGCTAAGTCTGAAAACATATGAAGCATTGCCTCTATTAATGGAAAAATCAACTTTTCCACCCATTGAAGTAAAGGAAAACATCGAATTGAATCGAAAAATATTCTTCATGAAAATTTTTCATTTTGGATCAACATTACGAAAGAGATTTTCATAATTTATTGGAGCTTGTTTTAATTCAGGAAGCTCGACTTTTCAGTTACCACAACACATGGAATAAGAAGTTTTCTTTCCGGAAGTATTGCCTTTAAGAGCTTCATATGTCCATAATTGTGCATGACACATCGTACACACAAAAGTCTGGTCACCATGGTCCAAGTAATCTGTTTAATAAAAACATTTGTAAAACTTTGAAATAATTTAATGTTGCAATGAGTAATAATTTAAATATAAAAGGGGATTATAAATAAAAATTAATATTTTCCTTTTGCAATACCTGATATTAACTGTTGACGGATTTGTTGATCACGTAATCTTCATCTGATGTTAGGTCCAAAATGGGTATCTGATCTATATTTGGAATCTTTCTTTTTTTATTTAGTTTTTTTGCATGATAAATTGTTGGAAGAAGCTCGGGTGACTGAAGATGAATTCGTAGCTCTCATGTCACCGGACAAGATAGAATATTGTGCATTTACTAACATTAAAAGTATGACAATTAGTATTAAATTTATAAAGTAAATATATAAAAAATAAAAAATAATAAAACAATGAATACATATTATTTTATGTGTACCATATATAGTAACAAATAGTAAGTTGAACGTATGCAAATAGACATTTAGGTCAATATGGACCAAATGTGTTAAATAGCCAACAGATTTGTAAAAATGACGTTTTTGCCCCTTGCTCGTACAAAAATCATAAATAGTTAGGGGACAGAAAAAAGTATTAGTATTTTTCACTTTAATCAATCAACATTAAAACAAAAAAAATGCACAATAATAGTGATAATAGACCATTCCATTCTTTTTCCTGTTTCCATTCCATCACACCAAAAAAATATAACCACTTTTAAATAAATAGGAAAACACATATAACAGCACTGAAGTTATCATGATTTTAAGGAGACATTCACTTTCCTAACTGTTATGCCTAATGAAACCACTGGAGTTATGAAGAATATTTATATGTTTTTTTTTTTTTGAATTGGAAGTAGATTGAATCTATGCAAATTCACATTTAGGTTAATATGTACCAAATGTGTAAACAACCAAGAAAACCGTAAAAATGACGTTTTTGCCCCTTGGTCATACAGAAATCATAAATAGTTGGGGACATAAAAAAGTATTTGTATTTTTCACTTTAATTAATCTACATTAAAACAAAAAAAAAAAAACAACGACAATAACAGTGATAATAGACTATTCCATTCCTTTTCCTGTTTCCATTCCATCACACCAAACAAATATAACAACTTTCAAATAAGTAGGAAAACACATAAAACAGCACAGTTGAACAAAAACATGAATAACAATTAATTTTTTTTAATTATATTGCTGTAAATGGTTTCAAGTTTGAATCCCAAGGTTGAAAGCAAAGACTTAGGATGGAAAACAGGGGCTTAAAAAGACAATTTAGTTCATTCTAACTCTCCTGTTTAACAAAAGTCTACATGAAAAATCCATGTTCATCTTACTAATTTACAGTTTCAATGTTGCTCCAGAACTTATACATAGAGAGTTACAAACTATCTACCACATTTTGATACATGGAATGAAAAGTCAAAAGTCACAATCATACGTTTTATCTTGCATTGATTTAGGAACATAAACAGTTAAACACGGACACACAGGAACATAAACAGTTAAGGCACACACACGCATACACATTGAGAAGCAGAAACTGATGTTAAAAAAACAACACACACATTAAAAAAACACAAGAAGAAACAAAAGATAAACAAACAATTTAAAAGTAGTTTTTTTATAAACTTACCGAAAGGATTGAACTCTGTGATTGAAAAGAATATTTTCCACTGTGATGATGCAAAACTTTGGAACACGATGCTGTAAACTCAATATTTCAAGAGACAGTGATAACAGATGAATAGAATTGCGTTATACATAAAAAGTAATTTATAAAAATGATTTTTGGAAAGGATGTCAAAGTTTGATACATTCCTTGCAAAAATTACGTGAGTGAAGCAATGTTTGAAAAGTTTCTCCAAATTAACGTTATTTTTAAAGGGATTGATAGAATTTTGTTCATGATAATTAAGAAGGTTTATTTGAATTTAATACCTTCCTTGCAAAAATTACGTGAGCTTTTAAGGAGGTATTCACTTTCTTTAAATTCAGCGAAATTCATATATTGTATTTTTATTACAGATTTAATTTAAAAGCAAAAAAATTAGAATTCACCAAGTGGAATTAAAGGTAATTGGAAAAATAGAAAAAATATCATGTGGCATAATGAATAAGGTGATGACATGTGGCAATATTATTTTCTTTTATTATGGTAGATCATATACGACACATAAATGTACGATGATTCATGATCTAAACTCAATCATTATGTTACGCTTAAGTCTTAGTGCAACATACTATAAGAATCACACTAACTCACTAAGCTTGCATATAACTTGGAATATGGTAATAATGATCACGAAATATGATTCATTCGAGATGAGTTTGCAATTGTGAAAACTAACTTGAGTCATTTACATATTGATTGTATATATTTATTCTTTATTGTTTTGTATACACTTGTTTCATGCACAAACCAAGCGAAAAGGATTTTAGCTAAAACAATTCTATATTCTTTTGAAGCTGTTGCGCAATGATGAATTCTTCTCCATTAAGCAGGCCCGGCTTAAGGGGAAAGGTGCGACGGCATAGGGCCTCCAAAAAAATAGGGCTGAGTTTTAATCAAATTATATAGTCAATAAATAATTATATACTATGTAATTCAAATAACTATGCGTAAATTTGTTAGCACAGCTAGCTTAAGTGCGCCTTTTTCTTTAGCCTTAACGTAAGTTCGAATACCTTTGACATCATCTTTACTTTTTATAATTCAATTTATTAAACAAATGAGTTTGACAGTTTCTAGAGGTTACCTAATTAGCCCCTGAACTTTTATAAAATTTCATATCTCTTTTTAATTAATTTATTTAATTTAAGTTTTCTGTTTTTTTAAACAAATCAGTTTAACAGTTTCTAGAAGTTACATAATTAGCTCTTGAACTTTTATAAAATTTCATGTTTCTTTTTAATTATTTATTTAATTTAAGTTTTTTGTAACCACAATCCATCATCTTAAATTTATTTTGCTTGTATATTTAAAAATTGTATTAAGGGGTCCATTTTTATTTTTTGTACAGGACCTTAAAATCAACGGGCCCGGCCCTCACATTGAAGTTGACATTGAAGTTTGGTTGTTATTATACACCTTGTAAAGAATAAAGTACAAGTTTCAAACTGTAAGTGTTAGATTATTAAATAAAGACACATGGTGTTAATTTGAATAATTTATGCTTATTCACTATGATCGATGTTGTGAAAAAACGTCCTTAATGTACATGTGACACATATGGACAGAATTATAAAACATATTGATTGTTGGGAATTGTTTGTCATATATTTTATTAGCATATGCATAATTATAAATTTTGATCGTGTTTTGAATTTAAATCCTATTAAGGAGAATAATATATGTAGCAAAATCCTATTAACTCGATACATTTAAATCATTACAGCATTATTGTTCTACTTCTTCACATGTCAAATATTACAATGTTTTTCGTGTTCTTTTTATAAAAAAAAAATCACTTGTTTCAATCCTCATAAAATTATAAAAATAAATCATTGTCGGCTTTCTTCAAAAATACCAAGAAGACACTTCCCTAACATGAACTCTACATTCACCCAAGCATAGGATTTATATGAATAAACAGGAGAAGGGTATTTGAAATTTCATCCTCGAGGGATTTATCTGAAAAAAAAATAAAAAATAAATAACACCAAACATAGAACAGTCCACATGGAGTCCTCTGTTTGGTGTTATTTGACTTCACTTTAAGATATAAGTCACTTTTTTAACTGCCCCTTAAATCCTGAAAAAAAAAAACCATAAATTCCAACAAATTCAGAAATAAATCAATATACATTTAAAAAGTTGATGAAAAAATTACAAGGGTAAATGCAAGAAATAACAATGTACTTTCACTAATTTGTTTAATATAACATCTTACTTTCATTTCTTTCTAATACAGAGACATAATGTGTAAAGTTGACTATAATGTGCATTGGAATGGAATTAAAATAGTTGAAATGGTAAAACAAAAAAAAATCATTTTTGCTTAGTACATTGGAATGGAATGGAACATTCCTAAGGTGATTCATTGGCATATATTGATCTTCATTCTATTGGGGAGGGTTGTTTCTTTTTCCAATTCCATGATGGAATGGAATGATACAATAAATTTACACTTTACTTATACAATCTTCGTTAACATCAAAATTATTAATAAAAGGCAAAATTCCATAAAAACCACGATAGTTTGGTCTTTATGGTTTAACCACCCATTTTTTTTCTGATTCAATTTTACCACTGAGAGTTTTTTTTTTCTATAAAAAACACTGTAAGGGTTTCTTGGTAATGAATTGCAAAGCACCATAGGAAGATTATTTTTCTGGGTAAAGTTGTTTAATTTTAATTTAAATTTAATGGTTACATCACAGAAAAATACTCTTAACTGCGGTTTTTATAAAATTCAAAGTTTTATGAAGTGGGTTTTATGAACACAAAATCAAAGTTTTAGTGATTAAATCAGAAAAATATTCTTCTGCTGGTTTAACAGACATAAAAATCCAAACTACAGTAGTTTTATGGAATTTGACCTTAATAAAATATCAAAATTTTAATTATAATATTCTTTTTTAATTCTGAAAACAAGTAAAAGAAATATTATACATCGATTTGGTATTTACTTTTTTAATTTAGTTTTCTATTTTCATAAACAATTTCTTGAAAGTGAGGATGAAAATTTCATGGACCGATTATAAGAATTGCAGACCTGTGGAGAGGAGCAAAAGTCACAAGTTTAAGTTTGTTGAGTGACAAAGCTTAGCCTTGAGTGCCACCTGGAAAGATATTTATTTATGTAGAAAAACATATTAGAAAAAAGCTTATGTGATGAAAAAAGGGTTTTTGTGTTATGAAAAAAGGGTTTTTGTGTTATAAAAAAAGTAGCTTGGGTGCCTACCTCCAGTATTGCCGGACTTCCTTTGAGATAAAGCTCTAAACTTCAATTTCTCTAATGAAAAGAAATAGATTAAAGATTTGACAATGATTGCATAAAATCAAAACATGAATTGTTTTTCATTAAAAACACTATCATTTAGTTATTATCATGCAGCTTTAGATAAAAGTTACGCATAAGAATGACATCTACCTTTAAAGCGGGCGCTTTCTCCACACAGTTGACCATAACCTAGTTGATCAATATCAAGGGGAAACAGCAGAATTCGCCTTTTGCTTAGGATGTATTCTCCGGTTGTTGACTGAAAACTAGTGAGATCTCCACCAATGATGTGATTCCATGACTTGTAATAACCCAACACATCTTCTTCTTCTTCTTCTCCATCATCATACACAAAACTCACCCCACACTCCTTTATACCTAAATAATCAATATAATAATATGGAAACGTCCTCAAGGTAATAGTAACTTGGTCACCACATTCCATCTCATTCATCCCAAACATCCAATGACTTAAGTACGTCAAATAACTTCTACTAGGATAGAGATTTGGAAGGTAGTGGTCGTATATCCAGATAAGGTTCTTTGTTATATTTCTAACTATGATCACTGGCAAACAAAGGAAAATTTGCAAATCAAGCAGATATTCAGAGTCACGTTGTTGTCTCTCATTCAAAAATGGAGATGCAACTACACAACAGAAATTCAATCCTCTAAGCTTGTTAGGAGATGATGGGATGGTAAATGATATTGATGGCCCCTTGCTTCTATCCGTAATCCAATTCGGCATCTCTTCACCACCACAAATTGTGCTGAATATTCCAAATTCATAATACATCTGCCAAATACAACCACCTTCATTAATCACCACATTAATTACATATACATAAAGACATATAGTTAACCAGAGCAAACCTGGATTTCAGATTCCTTTCTTTCTCTAGCATATAATGTAGTTCCCATGAGCTTTTCCTTAAGAAAGTCTATCTTACTCCATCCCAAACTGCGTAATACCTTTTCCTCAACACCTACCATTGGTTGGATTTTGACCAAGCCTTCAAATTCAAACGACGAAGGTGCTAATGTAGTCCAATTTATAAGCAACTTGCGTGGGAACATTTGTGGATCAAACACAACTTTTTGTAGCAAAGGCTTATCAGAATACAGGTTCAAATATGTGAGTGTATGTGGAGCAGGCTCGTCTGTCATTAGCATATTACAATTTATCATACTAAGTGTCTCAAGCCTATGAAGGCTTCTCACACAAGTGGGAATGGAAACGATAGGATTTTCATCTAAACATAAATACTTTAACATGGTTAGGCAACTGAAGTCAACGGGAAAGGATTCGATGGACAAATTATTATTCACAAGTGACAAGGTTACTAAAGATCTCGGTAACGAAATCCCAAAGAACTTTGAAGAAATTGGTACAGCCTCTGGAACGACAGACAAAGAGGTTATTGTGTTTATGGAGATGTTATTACCCTTGACCATTTCCGTTGAATCCATATCCCTAATCTTGATTGGAGATTCACCGAGATAACAACCGTTTAGCAATAGTGTTTCAACTTTCTTTAACTTGCCTATGATTCGCCGAAGTTTTTGAAGCTTGCTGCAGTAGCTCAAATCAACAAGAACAAGTTTTACACATTGCTCTATCGATTCACAAACCTCAAGCAAACCAATGCAACCTTTAAGTATCAACATCTCAAGTTTAGGGAAGTGGTCAAACCCACCAAGGCTACCAAGTTGTTCGCAAAAACTTAAATTAAGAATTTTCAATGATCCAAGCAAGCTTTTGCCTTTTGAATAAGATCCCATCAACTGCTGAAAAGGAGACAAGTTAAAATACCAGTGACTCTATCAGCTTGAACTGGAAGAAGGATAAATATAGATAAGTTACCATTTGCCTGCTTTCACATCGTTGCGGATTATTATAACAAATGGAAAATGATTCAATGTTGCTATATGACAAGTCAAGAGCAACCAAATTCTCCATCGGTAAGTCTGAAGGTATAGACTTCAAAGGAAACCCATGCATACACAACCATCTTAATTCTTCCGGAAAGTTCTCGTAAGAGCCATTGATCTGCACATAATTGAGTTGTAGCAGCATTAGATTATCCATCTTACTCAATGCGTCTGTTTTCAACTCAAGTGATCCATGTAACTTCTCTTTGTTAATTATCTTCATGTCAAGGGTGAGGCCTAAAACATTTTCCGTACCCTGAGAAGAAAAGCATGCAAAAATACATTAAAATGTATAAACAGGCATATAGAAATACAAAATGCTTTAAACAAGTATACAAAGCCTCTTACCTTTTTCTGTTTCAACACTCTAAATGACTCATGACCCCATAATCGACTTCGTTCCCATGGCTTGTGAAATGATTCTTCACGTACCACAAATCTTCCCATCTCTTGAACCAATTGATGCATTATCAATTTGTTATACCATCCTATACTAAGAAAGCATCTGTCGATGAGATTCGTAATTCCAGTTCTTGTTTCTATATCACATGCTTCTAATATTGTTGTAGCAACATCTATATCCATTCCAACAAAAATACAAGCAATATGCTTAAACAGCTCCTTATCATTTTCAGATGGCAAAGAATCAAAGCTCATTCTCAAGACATTATTTATAGGGGAATTATTTTCTTTCTTTAGTCTGTCTATGTACCCATCCCAATACGTTACATCTCGATTGTGTAGATTCCTACCCAAAACTTTAAGAGCCATTGGATGTCCTTCACAATACTTCACTAGCTTTTCTGACACCTCTTCATAACCTGCCTTAGGATCATTGCACATGAATGCATGAAAACAGAAAAGTTTTTGTGATTCGATCTCAAATAAGCCTTTAAGAAAGTGCTTTTCATGCGTGAGTGATTTACCCTTCAATTTGAACAGTTCACAGCTCTCTGTCAACCACGTGTCCTTTGTAGTTATTATGATTTTGCTTCCTGGATGAAAACCTTTCCTTCCAAGTAATGCATCTAATTGGTCGAGACTACCAATGTCATCAAGAACAAGAAACACCTTTTCACGGGCTACTGCATTCTCTATCATTGAAGTGTATGTGGAAACATCATGAACTTGAACTGAACTTGGTTTTGAAATATCCTCATAGAGTTTCTTTTGTACATCAAGCATCCCATTAGATTTTTCATCGCATCTCCTGTTGATATCTTCAATGAAGCTGCTTGTGTCAAATTCATGAGAATGTAACGTATAGACATATTTGGCTAAAGACGTCTTCCCGATCCCACCCACACCCAAAATAGTGAGTATATCTGTCTTATGTGAGGATGTATCTTTCAACCATGAACTGACGAATTTAATAGAATTTTCCACCCCAATAAGCTGTGGCAGTGGAAACCTTGAGGATGTATGTAATCTACGAAAGATGTCCTTAACTATTCCATCAATAAGCTCCACCTCTAGCCTGCAATTTGATTTTATAAGAACCACAAAACACAATCTAAAAAAAATAACACGACATATTGGAGATTTAATTTTTCCAAAAATCCAAACAAAATTATGGCATATAAGCCTATTATTTAGTTATGTTTTTCACATCATAAACATTATTGTATTTTCACTTTTAACCATACAATCATCTAATGTGCAAGGTCATAATTATTATCTATAATAAGATCAGAGCCTCATGTAATACAGGATTTCATTTCATTGTGTTTCTACAAAACCATCAAACTTAAATATAGACGTGGTTTTTCATGAGCCTGAACAAAATATTAGTGAATAGTTTCAAGTTAACCTTTACTACTTACATGTGAGAATTAAAATATCATAATAAAAGATGATGTGATTTGAAGGTAGAATGATATAAAACTTAGTAGCGGATTATAACCAATCAAAACTAGCAGGATAGTTTAACCTATCTATACGAATTATATTATGAGATCACATAATTACAAAAATTATATTCAACTTAAACATATCTGTATCCAAATTTAAATGCATCATAAATATGCCTATTTTATGATTATAGAGAAACATATTGAAATGCATACGCCATACAGAGAAGATGATATTGACTATTTGACTTCTCATGCGTTGATGAAGCAATATTAAAGAAATATGGAAATACGAGTAAGAAAGTTGTTACCTGCCATTTGCATCCATCCCTTTCAAATCAGCAACTTCTGTAAGCGCTTTATTCCAACACTCTATCTTTTGAGCCCATTGACATCTTTTACTTGAGTTTGTCTCTGCTTCCATCTTCTGTCTATGCTTAGCCATTGCACCTCCAAAGCTACTTTGTTGCTTCCTAACATGTGTGGGCTCAACATGATAAAAGATGGGGAAAACAACATGTCTGGATGCCTTACGTTGCTCAAGGATCAACACCAATTCATCAAGACACCATGTTGAAGTAGCATAATTTGTAGACAACACGATAACAGAAGCTCTAGATGCTTTAATAGCACTCTCCAATTCTGGTTTCAGATCTTCCCCTGTTTCGATCTCTTCATCATCCATGAAGGTAGTGATATTGGCATGCATGAGGGCATTATAAAGGTGATTAGTGAAACTATGACGAGTGTCAACACCTCTAAAACTTAAAAATACGTCATATCCACGACAATGAGTTGTTGAAGAGGATGAAGCTTCGTCAGAAATTTCATGGAGCTCAACCATTATGAGTTATGGATTGATTCTTGTTTCTCCCACTTTGAATCCAACGTTTTCCTCACTTGTGCCTAAAGAAAATCAATAGTTATATTCTACAAAATTAAAAAAAAAAATGAAGTGTTTAAATAACAATACATATGCACCTCCGAATGTTAGCATGTGAATTTAATCTGCTTCAGAATTAAGTATTGATATAAAATCACCATAACATTTAGATGTGAATTAATTATAAATTGAATTGAATACTCAGTTAATTAGATTCGTTAACCTGTTTTTCTACCCCTAGAACAGGACTTGAAGTTAACCAAATCCTACGTGTAATTAACACATCCATGCAGAACGATTGTCAAATAAATGAACCCAAACAGACAAATGAGAAAGTGGCTAAAAGTAATCGCATGCCAATGAAGGTTTGATTATGTGAAAAAGGTGAGTTTAGTGATGAGTGACATAAACTTTGTTGACCAATGTGTCGTTGTGATATCTACAAAGAAATCCCTTATCAAATTGCAGCTCAAAGAAAACCTAATTCAGCTTATCTGTGAAAAAGCAGAGCATTACTTGATTGATGATGATGATATAGGATCTCTGAACTAGCAAAATCCTAATTTCGATTCAAGGAATCTAACACCCGAAAGTACTTCACAAAAACCGAGATTTTTTTTTTTTTTTTTTGAAAGAAGGGAAACATATACATCACCAGAAAATTAAGCATTATCGTTCAGGTTCAAAAGGATTCAAATGTAAAAAATCGTGTTTTTGAATTGGAAAATTAGAGGAATTAAAGAAGTACATGTTGGATCTGTACAACCCTAATTGAAAAAAAAAAAAAAAAAGTAATTTAGATTATCGAATCGGTAATCACCTGAAGAAACTGATTATTATAATTTGATTAATGAGATAAAATTGTGTAAACTAAATGGTAAAAATCTGCCTTCATAGTTACCTGTCTACAGAGCAACAACAAGACCTGAAACGGCGAGAATAGCGGATGAAGAACGACGACGCGACACAGAAGGATAACGACAGAAAACTACAGAGCGAACGGCGAGAAGTCGGCCGGTAAACGGAGAGTCAACGAAGAAGGAAGGGAGACGTGAGAGAGATCGAGAGTTCGAGACAGAATGTTGGGTTGGAGGACTTAAACGATATAATAGTAAATGGTAGAGAAGTTATAATAATAATAATAATAATAATAAGTCCTTTTCTTTCCTTAGGCATTAAGAGTGTGTTTGGTTGTCCGAATTGAATGGAATTTGAGAGAAAAGGAATCCAATTCCTTTGGAATCCGGCGTTTGGTTCAACATTAAGGAAAGGAAAAGGATTCCTAAATGAGCAAACATTCCATCAAATGGAGGAAAATACTTTCCTTCAAAGAAAGAAGGGAATTAATTCCATACCATTTTAATTTCACAAAACCATTTATTTTGTATTGACAGCAACATTTGTCAAAATTGATTGTGATGTTTTAGATTTACTTGCTGGAAAGAGATGCACCATAACATACACAACCTGTTTTTTCTTTTGAACTTTTTTTTGACATATATGTTTTTGTTTGAATCTATTTTAAATTTTCTGGTAAGTCAATATGTCGATCCTCACCATCATTTATGATTTGCAATTATAGCTTTAAGTATGATTTGCAGGCTTGAACTTATGTAAACTAAAAAAAAAAAACAATTGTTACCTATGAAAATTATTGATTTTCAGAAGATATATTTATGAGAAATATGGTTTCCGTGAATTTTTTCTTTTTTTAGATATTCACTGGTCAACACCAATGAAAAGAATGGTTTTCTTATTAATTTTCGTAAGTAAGCACCTGCGAAAATCTAGGTGTCATGTGAATTTTTTTCTTTTTTTTTTTATTTTTTATTTTTACATGTTATATTTGTAATTAGTAGAACTAAAATGATATGATGAGTTTTAAAGGTCACCTTTGTGATTTGTAGAGCCTATGTGGCATTCTATTTTTTATTTTTTATTTTATGGATTTGGTCTTTATCACATATAAAAAAACTATATTACCGCTATTTTTTTGGGCCTATTTACTTATAAAATAGATTATTTAATAACTTTAACATGAGGGTTATTCCTAAACACTACCCATTCATCCATAGTCTGTTTCCTTTTACCATCACCATCATCTCAGTACTTATAAAATAGATTATTTAATAACTTTAACATGACCAACACTACTTATAAAATAGTCTGTTTCCTTTTACCATAGTCTGTTTCCTTTTACCATCACCAACACTACTTATAAAATAGATTATTTAATAACTTTAACATGAGGGTAGCGCCCCTAGCGGGGTCCATGGAGGCCCCTGGCGGTAAGATTGACAAATCTTGTTAGTTTTGGAAACGATTGATTATGTCATTAGTTTCGAGATTCTCCTAACTAATTTAAAAGATAACAACCCTAATCTGTCATTGTCAGGTATATATACGACTCCTTCTCTGAGCCGTAGAGAACCCGCTTAACTCTTCTTTCTTTTGAACGAACTTAGAATTCTTTGGCGATTTGGCTTGTGTTTCTGTGACTAGATACACAAGTCCTTTTGGACTATCTTGGACTAGATTTCCTGTAACCCAGACATATGGTGGAAATATCAGTTCAGAAAGTGAACTTACATGATCCACAAGAAATCCGGTTCTCCGCCATCACCTACTTATATTACTCCCCAACATGAAGTTCACTAGAGCCACCATCACCATTTATAACCATTTCAGCTTAAGAGATTACCACTTTTAGAACATTAGATCGCATTATTGTTTTTGTTTTTTTTTTTATTGTTCGTGAATGTGTTCTTCGTTTTCTAAGGAATAAAAAACAATTAATGGTTCGGGTTTGTCTTGCAACATTTTGATGATTTTAATGTTTTTAATTTTAGAAAGAATTAACAAAATGGTTTTAATCAATGTTTCCACTGAAGTCATTTCTAAATTATATGTTGCTCTGTTTGAAAATTAGATTGGATGTTGTTGAATGTGTTTTTGGTTGTTTTTCTTGTTTTTTGTCGTTAGAAATGTATGTTTTTGCATTAATGATTATAAAAAAAGTGTTGTGATTAAGTTAGAGATTGTATTTTATATTTTTGGTTGTATCAATTGTAATTTGGTTTGAGATGGAAATCTGGCAACAAAGATGGACCAATTCAACCAAAGGCCCAAGTTAATCACTCCCAGCCTAGACATCCCTTGACACAAGTGGCTCTCAGTTCGTTGGGCTTTGTCTTTTGCCCAAATAAATAAGCTTGGCCCACTCACTCTCTCTCTCTCTCTCTCTCTCTCTCTCTCTCTCTCTCTCTCTCTCTCTCTCTCTCTCTCTCT